TAAAAAGACGGAAACAGGTATAACACATAAACATTAATCTCTGCTGCTCCCCCATTCACGTACTTGCTCTCTCTCTCTCCCCCCTTTCAAAGATAAATACATAAACATTTTAAAAAAGAATTCTCAAAACTGAACAGTAAACAAGCAAAACAATCCAATTACAAAATGGACAAAAGGCATGAACAGGCATTTCACCAGAGAAGATACAGATAGCAAATAAGCACATGAAAAGATGGTCCGCATCATTAGCAATTAGGGAAATGCAAATTAAAAACACAGTAAGATATTGTGACACACCTATCAGAATGGCTAAAATAAAACAAAAGTGACAACACCAAATACTGACAAGGATGTAGAGATTCCATATTATTCACACATTTCTGGCAAGAATGTAAAATGTTACAGACACTCTGGAAAACAGTTTGGTAGTTTCTTTAAAATCTAAACATGCAATTACCATATGAGCCTGCAATTGCCTTCTTAGGTACTATTCCAAAAAAATGAAGACTCATGCTCACACAAAAACCTGTACACAAATGTTGACAGCAGCTTTATTTGTAATAGCCCCAAACTGGAAACAGCGCAGATGTCGTTCAATAGGTGAATGGTTAAGCGAACTCTGCTACATCCATACCATGGAATACTACTTAGCAAAAAAAGAAATGAAATACTGATATAACCAACAACTTGAAACTTGAAGAATTTCCAGAGAATTCTGCTGACAAAAAGCTAATCTCAAAAGGTTATATACTATATGATTCCTAATCTCAAAAATTATATACTGTAAGATTCAATTGATAGAACATTATGGAAATGACAAAATTATAGAAATCGATAATAGCTTCATGGTTGCCAGGAACTAAGGAGGGGCTGGGGTGGGAAAGAATTGGGTGGACGCTATAAAAGGGCAACATGAGGTATCCCTGTGATGGAAAAGTTCTGTGTCTTGACTGTAATAATGTCGACATCCTGGTTGTGATACTGTTTATAAGATTTTACCACTGGGGGAAACTGGGTAAAGCATATCTAAGATCTCTTATATTTAATTCTTATGACTGCAAGTGAATCTACAGTCATTTCAAAATAAAATTTTAACTTAGAAAAACAACCAGAGCAATCCATTTTCTCTTAAAAATAATCTAGAACATCAACCTACTGTATATAATCTTGCCTGCTTAAGCATAAAAGTCATCCAACCTGGTTTTTCATTGGCAGTAGCTTCTGAATACCAACTTGAGCCTTTTCCTTTGAACTGAATCCTAGTAAGAGCAGGTAAAGAAGATGTGTGTTCTGGTGGAAAGAGCCCTGGAACTGAGGTCAGATGATCTGAGTTCTAGTCCTCTCATTCATTAACCATATGACCTTAGGCAAATTGGTAACTTGACTTTTTTGGAAGGCAGCTATGCTCACCACTATATGACCAATGTGGTAACTTGACTTTTTTAAGTCTTAAAAATTTCCTCATTGTCAAGGTTAATAATACAGCACTCTCTACTTCACAGAATTGCTGGGCGGGGGGGAAGGAGGGGATCCTATGAAATAATGGAGGTAAGAATGCTTTGTAAAATATAAAGCATGATACTGTGAGACACGAGGTTTTATATCTGTGTCATAGCCATTTTGCCAAGTATGGAGGCATTTGATAAAGGTTATCTGCTCAATAAATAATGAATGAGTGCCTGGTCATTAGAAAAGTCAAACAAGGGCAGAATTTTCTCTCAAGCATTTAAAACAAAGGAGATACACAACACATCCAATTGAAAGGAAAAAGCAACATATACTCTATAAAGAGCCAAGGGTATTACTAAAATAATCTCTGTATAAGAAAGTATACCTTCCCATCATGTTTCAGGGGATGAGCAATAATGGATGGGAGACTTATCAAAAAAGTAGAAAAAACATTAAGCTCTCCAGCAGGAAACCCAAGAGCCAGAAAGATGGAACAGTAAGAGACAGAATATAAGTGGCACAAAAATGCTCAGAGTAGTTTCGGCCTTATATAGAGACTATGGAAATGGATCAATTTGGATTTACAGTAAAATTTAATTTTAGTTTGTATTAGTTACTATGGCAAACACATCTGAAGGTCCAGATGAGGCTCATGGCTTAGAAATAGAATTTTCTCTTCTTCCCAAAAGAAAGTAAAAAAATGTACACATCCAAAATGTTCAATGCTAAAGTTTTTTTAAAAACTTAAATTCACACAGGCCATAATTACATAGCTCCAGGAGAATTCTAGGTTTTTGAAGTCGATGCTGGTTTGTACCAGGTTGTCACCCTACTATACTGTTCTGCCATCTGCTGTGGATTGCAGATATTTTTATATGAAGAGGTAACTGAGCCTAAAGCAGGGTCAGGATCCTCAGTTATTAACATGGACTCAAATAATGACTTTCTGAGGGACTCAAATAATGACTTTTTGAGTGACTTTAAGCAAGTCGTTTAACCTTAATATTTTATAGCTCCCTTATAATAACAATACCACCTTACATGTGTATGAGCTGTTTATATAAGGTTTACAACACATATTTTTTTTTAATTTTTTTTTCAACGTTTATTTATTTTTGGGACAGAGAGAGACAGAGCATGAACGGGGGAGGGGCAGAGAGAGAGGGAGACACAGAATCGGAAACAGGCTCCAGGCTCTGAGCCATCAGCCCAGAGCCCGACGCGGGGCTCGAACTCCCGGACCGCGAGATTGTGACCTGGCCGAAGTCGGACGATTAACCGACTGCGCCACCCAGGCGCCCCTACAACACATATTATTATTTCAACTGATCCTTAAAACCTCAGTGTGGGAATCAGAGAAGGTATTATTTCCATTTTACAAATGAGAAAACTGAAGTCAAACAGCATAGGAAGGATATCCATATGGAAAGTCAAACAAATAAAAGACTTACCTTACACCATCAACAAAACTGAAAACTCAAAATGGATCATAAACATGTATTTAAGAGATAAAAGCATAAAAACTTCTACAAGAAAACACAGGAGAAAATCTTTGTAAATTTGAGACAGGCAAAGATTTCTTATCATGGCCAAAATATGAACCACAAAATAAAAAACTGATAAATTAGACTTCATAAAAACTTAGAACTTTTGCTTTTCAAATGATGTCATTAAGAAAATGAAAAGACAAGCCAAAGATTGGGAGAAAACATTTACAAACTGTATGTTTGATAAAGGATTTATACCTATAACATATAAATAATTCTTACAACTCAACAAGAACCCAATTTTTAAAATGGGAAAATAACCATAGACATTTTTCCAAAGAAGGTAGACAAATGATCAATAAACACATAAAAAAAATATCAACACCATTAACCATCAAGGAAATGTGAATCAAAATCACAACACGCTGCCACCACACACCTTCTAAAATGGTTGTAACAAAGAAGATGGACAGTAACAAGTGTTGATGAGGATGTGGGGAAATTAGAACCCTCATACACTGCTGGTAGGAATGTAAAATAGTGCAACCACTTTGGAAAACAGATTGTAGCTCCTCCAAAAGTTAAACATGAAGTTACCATATGACCCAGAAATTCATGTATTCAAGAGAACTGAAAACATATGTCCACGTAAAGACTTGTACACAAATGTCACAGCAGTATTATTCATAATAGCTAAAAAGTGGAACCAACTCAAATGTCTACCAGCTATTGAGTGAGTGCAAAAAGAAATGTGACAGGGGCGCCTGGGTGGCGCAGTCGGTTAAGCGTCCGACTTCAGCCAGGTCACGATCTCGCGGTCCGTGAGTTCGAGCCCCGCGTCGGGCTCTGGGCTGATGGCTCAGAGCCTGGAGCCTGTTTCCGATTCTGTGTCTCCCTCTCTCTCTGCCCCTCCCCCGTTCATGCTCTGTCTCCCTCTGTCCCCAAAATAAATAAAACGTTGAAAAAAAAATTAAAAAAAAAAAAAAAAAAGAAATGTGACATATCCCATCAAGTAGAATATAATATTCTATTTATTCAGCAATAGGAAGGATTAAAATACTGATACATGCTTCAACATGCACCAGCCTCAAAAATATTATGCTAAATTGAAAGAAGCCACACACAAGAGATCACGTATTGCATGGTCTCATTCATATCAAGGGTCCAGAAAGAGAAAATCTACAGAGATAGAAAGCAGATCAGTGGTCGCCTGGGCCTGCAGGTAGGAACAGGGATTGACTGCAAATAGGTAAGAAGAAACTTTGTGGTAATAGAAATATTCTATAACTGGATTGTGGTGACAGTTGCATAACACTATAAATTTACTATAATCACTGAATGGTACACATGTAAAGGGTGCATTTTGTGATATGTAAATCACACCTCAATAAAGCTAATTTAAAAATCATTGAATAAACCTGTGCTGAAAAGAAAAAAATCAACAGAGGAGGGACTAAAATACAGGTCCTCAGTGTTCCTCCTTCTCTATTACCTGCCTCTGAGAAATGGAAGGAATAACAATGTTTTTCAAAGGCTTAGTACCTCACTGGGAAGTAACAATTCTACCAGGTTTTGAAAACACAAATAATTTAATTTTTTTTTTAACGTTTATTTTTATTTTTGGGACAGAGAGAGACAGCGCATGAACGGGGGAGGGGCAGAGAGAGAGGGAGACACAGAATCGGAAACAGGCTCCAGGCTCTGAGCCATCAGCCCAGAGCCCGACGCGGGGCTCGAACTCACAGACCGCGAGATCGTGACCTGGCTGAAGTCGGACGCTTAACCGACTGCGCCACCCAGGCGCCCCGAAAACACAAATAATTTAAAATACCAGGTGGCACTGTTATTCTCACTTAATCCATAGTATACTTGTATCAGAAATTTTCTACTTTTAACTATTTACATTTCATAAACCAAGGGAAATTTTATAATGTTTAAGTATATTGTAATATGAATTTATTTACCCTAAAATTCATACCAGAAAGCATTAACTCTGTGTAATTTCTAACACAAAAGACAGTTCTTTAAAATTAGCTGATAGCTTAATATCACTGTTCGACTTACGGTGTGGCTAATAAAGCTCAGAGCATCTTCAAAATAACCCCAAATTTCTTCTGGGGGACAGAGTTCTGTACTTGGCACCCCATCTGGCACCAAGAGGTTAATCAAGTTTCGCACACATTTGCTGAAATCAAAAAGAGAAAACTCATCCCATAAGGAAATAAATCATTGGCTTCATGGCTAAGATAAGTAAAATCTGGATCTCATCCCAGACTACGAGCTTCAAAACACTTCTGTTCTTCCCTCATTTTTATCTGGCCTCCAACCTCAGAAGACAGATTTTTGAAGCTATAAAAGGGGCTGACCAATCCTCCTTTTTATTATGCCTATGGTTTCTTTCACCTTTTTTTAGTTTCCTGCATCAAGGAGTAGTGGCTGTTTATTATATTTTATGAGCTGGTTCAATCTATAGGCACTTTAAAGCATCTCTTTATATCCTCAAATGGGCAAGGAAATTGGGATTTAACCTGGGAATAATTCCAGGAGAACTGTTTCTCATGTCTCAGAAAAGAAAGTCTGTAATAAAGTTTTCTGCAGAAAACTCACATAGCATCATTTTCCTCCATGTCTAGGTACAGAAAACATAAAATATGTAATAAATAATATTTTGTATTATGATGTACAGCACTTATTGGTCCTTAAAGAAAGGTGCTTAGGAAAAATAAACGTCTTGGGCAAAACTAGCAAAATGTTAACATTTGTTAAATTTGGGTGGTGGACACACTGGTGTTTGTTATATTAATCTCTGAAAGGTATTCAATAATTTTATCATATATATAGTCTCACAACAAAGAAGCAACTTTCTCCCTTTTTTTCCCTTTTGGGAAAACCAGACTCTGTGACATAACTAATTCTTGGCCTATAATACAACTCTAAATATGAAGCTGTTCTGAGGGCTTTTTAGTTCAAGAGTTTACAGGAGTGCCCCTGATCAACTTTTAAATTGGACCAGTTGAGTATGACTGATGACTTATATACCTCTTTTGACTATCGAAAAGCTTGGCTTCAGTGTTGAGTTACATTTACTAACCTGTATTTCACAGCATCAATTGATTGTTTCTCTTTGTAGAGCAATAAAGCCCTATTCAAGGCCTTCAGAGCAATGGAAGGATAGTGTGCAGGCTTTTCCACTGCTAACACTATAGGAGGGAAAGAAAAAAGGCTGTGAACACCATAGTCTCATCCATCACCATTTTCATCCCAGGCTACAACTTGATTTTTCTAATGAAACTAGCCTGAAACAGATGAACACAAACCAATCAACCACCACCACCAACAACAACAAAAACCACAAAAATTAATTTAATGAAATGATGAGTCCATGGTGGCTTTCAGAGAAAGTGTATAGTTTCTGGGCAAAGTAATATGGTAGGGTTATCAGGATTGTCTTTTATTCAGCAAACATCAAGAGAACCTACTGTTTCTGTGACCCTACACATAGTCATACAGGTAAAGCAATAATCTTATGAACCAGAGTCAAGGAGGGGCACACCAAGATGGAAACAAAAAGCATACCAGTAAAAGAGCAATAATCAAAAACAGATTTATACAATATATTGCTTTGGTCTGATACTATAAACAGGAATCACTTGACATGAGAGTGAGTGTCGGGGATGACAAACCTTGTAACTTCCAAATGCATTTACCAGGCCTCTGTAATTGGAGATCCATTATACAAGGAGAAGTGGTCACCATCACATGTCTACAAAGTATACACCACAGGCTCCATGTCTCTAGAATTTTGTCTTGCAAGATAAGGAAAGGCAAATGTGACCTTTGTGCACCTGGGGCTATCTAATACCTTTATTAACCACACATAGGCTCCCAAGGAGGGTGAGAGAGAAAAAAGGGAAAATAATTAGGTTATTTCCTGCAGCATATTCCCATACAGGCTCTGAGACCCCAACGACTACTTACTTAGAGCCCAACCAAAAATTTGAGAGTGGTAATTGTGTTAAAAAAATATTACCAGTATTTCTTTGTATACTTTTTTGGGGGAAAGATTATATTTTTAAGTAATCTCTACACCCAACATGGGGCTTGAACCTACAATCCCAAGATCCAGAGTCACATGCTCTACCAACTGAGTCAGCCTGGTGCTCCTCTTTGTACACTTTAATAAATTGCTGAGATTGCATTACCTTTGATTAGTGAAGCAGGTGACTGTCACTTCTAGCTACCTGAGTAAAACTTTCTGAAGGTTAAGCTCCCTCTACTGTGTAGTTATATAATTCAATTCCACACCTAGAATGAGCTTTGATTATGATTAATGCACTTCACTCAGGTTTATAAGTACAACAAATACAAGCACTTATTTTTCATGACCTTAAGGAGTTTATAGTCTCATATAAATAAAAAGATAAATGCATAAATTATTGTAATACATGACAGTTCAAGAATGCCATTAGAGAAGGAGAAACATTATTATTTCCCATCTAAGGGCAAAGAATGAAGAATAGAGACTGGAATAAAAAGTATTACAATCTAAATGGGTAGGTACCAGCCTACCAAAAACATAAATATAGCACTTACAGGCAATTGTTTCAAATGTTTTACTTTCCAAATGAGGCAGTTCCCACAGTGATTCCAGGAAACTGTCAAGTAATGGATCATTCATTTTGGCTTTAACTTCAAACTCATACAGCAGAAGCAGTGTCTCACATGGATCACCTGAGAAGTTCCCTAAGAAGGAGGCAAAAATGCAACATTCTCTGTGATTACATTTTATTATTCTATTCCAAGCTCTCTTCTGGGGAGATTTTCCTGTTGAGGAAAATTAATTTTATTTACAATTTGAAGACTGTCCCAGGTTCTGTATATAGATTTTTTACATTTTTAAAATTATAAAAAATGTTTATTTTTTTTCAGAGAGAGAGAGAATACAAGAGGGGAAGGGGCAGAGAGAGGGAGGGAGAGAGAGAATCCCAAGCAGGCTCTGCATAGTGCAGAGTCCAATACAGGGCTCGATCTCATGAACTGTGAGATCATGACCTGAGCTGATATCAAGAGTCAGAAACTTAACCAACTTAACCAACCAAGGCAACCCAGATTTTTCATATTTTTAAATCTATAAACTCACCAATTCTTTCAGCACCCTATAATGCATTCAGTAGCATTGCTTACATTTCTTGAAATTATTGCCATGATGTTCCTGAATAGCCTGAAAAAGTCCTGCTGTTCATCTGCCTCAATCCAAATCCAATGTTTATCTGCCTCACTTTAATGACTGAGTTAACTGAAAGATACAGTGCTGTATAAACTAACTGTGGTTTTATTTCAAGCAAAGTAAAAGAGAGTTTCCAAATCGTTTCATTTAGTCAATATTTCTTGGGTATCACCATGGGCAGAATATTATATCAGGTGGCATATAACACATGATATGAGATAGTTTTTATTCATGTTTGTTAGACTGAATTTAAAAAAAGTTTTGAGGTATAGCACCGATAAAATAAACTGAATGAAGCATGTTCATCTTAAACAAGCAGCTTATTGAGTTTTTAGATGTTTAACCCATATAACCATTACCCAGATCATGATATAGAACACTTCTAACACCTGTGTTCCTTTCCAGTCAAAATCATCTTAGTATTGGGGCACCTGGGTGGCTCCATCGGTTGGGCATCCGACTTTGGCTCGGGTCATGATCTCACGGTTCGTGGGTTCGAGCCCCTTGTCAGTCTCTGTGCTAACAGCTCAGAGACTGGAGCCTGCTTCAGGTTCTGTGTCTCCCTCTCTCTCTGCCCCTCCCCCACTCACATTCTGTATCTTTCTCTCAAAAATAAATGTTAAAAAAATCACCTTAGCAGAGTTAACAACTATTTTGGTTTCTATTCCTATTGATTGCTATTGCCTGTTCTTCAATGTCATTGCTAATATAACAGACAACTTTTGAAAATTTGACTTTGTATTCTGTAACTTGCTAAAACTCACTAATTTCAGTAACTTTTCTGTAGATTCTTTGGGATTTTCTATGTAGACAATCATGTAATCTGCAAATAAAGGTGGTTTTATTTCTTCTTTTTCACTCTATGTCTTTTTTCCATTCTTTTGCTTGCCTTATTGCACTGGCTAGGACTTCTAGAATGATGTTGAACAAGACTGAGAATAGAAAACCTTGACTTGTTCCTGCCCTTAGAAGGAAAGCATTCAGTTTTTTAATGTTTATTTATTTTTGACAGAGAGAGAGAGAGAGAGACAGAGCATGAGTGAGGGAGGGGCAGAGAGAGAGGGAGACACAGAATCCGAAGCAGGCTTCAGGCTCCGAGCTGTCAGCACAGAGCCTGACTCAGGGCTTGAACTCACAGACCACGAGATCATGACCTGAGCCAAAGGATGCTCAACCAACTGAGCCACCCACGTGTTCCAGCATTCAGTTTTCCATCATTAAATATGATATGAGCTGTGATTTAATTTTTGTATATACCCTTTATCAGGTTGAGAAACTTCCCTACGATTCCTAGTTTCTTGAGAGCTTTTTTTAAAATCATAAATGTATGTTCAATCTTTTCACTTAATCTGTTGATATGGTAAATTAATTGAATTTACAATATTGAACCTAGGAGAAACCTGATTTGTTTATGGTCTATTACCCTTTTCAAATTTTACTAAATTCACCTTGCTAATATTTTGTTGAGGATTTCTGCATCTATTTTCATGAAGAATATTGGTTCATAATTTTTTATCATATTTTTTGTCTAGTATTGGTATCAGGGTAAATATGATCTCATAAAGTGAGCTGGGAAGTATGCCCTCTTCTTTCTGGAAGAGTTTGTATAAAACTGGTATTGTCTTTAAATGGTTGGCAGACTTCCTTAGTGGAGTTTTCTGTTAGAAGATTTTAAACAACAAATTCAATGGGTATAGGACTATTCAAATTATCGATTTCTTCTTGAGGGAGCTTTCTTGGTTTGTGCCTTTCAAGGAATTTATCCATCTCATCTAAGCTGTCAAAGTCATGGGCATATAGCTGTTCATAATAGTCCTTAATCATCTTTTTAAATGTCTGTAGGATCTGTAGTGATGCCTGTATTTTCATTCTTGACATTATTAATTTGTATCTTTATTAATTTTGTATAGATAATGCTGCTATAAACATTGGGGTGCATGTATCCCTTTGAATTCATATTTTTGTATTTTGATATTAATATAGCCACTCCAGCTTTCTTTTTATTAGCATTTGTTTAGTGTACCTTTTCCAATTCCTTTTATTTTCAACCTATCTATGTCTTCATATTTAAGTGTTATTTTAAAAATAGAAAGCATGAAGTTGGGTCTTGATTTTTATCCAATCTGACATTCTTCATCTTTTAATTGGTATGTTTATACCAGGGGTGAGCAAACTACAATCTGTGAGCTGACTGCCTGTTTTGCAAATAAAGTTTAATTTGAACACAATCATGTCCTTTGTTTAAATATGGCCCATGTGTTCCTGTGACAACAGCAGAGTTGAGTAGTTGTGTCCAAGATTGTATGACCTGTTAGCCTAAAATATTCACTACTGGCACTTTAAAAAACGTTCCCTGACCTCTGATTTAGACCATTTATATACAATGCAATTATTGATATAGTTGGGTATTCTTGAACTTCATAAAAATGAATTGTACTTAGAACAACTAGACAGAAGATAAGGAAATTTAAAAAATGAAAACATTGTAAGCCAACTAGACCTAACAGACATCTATAAAACACTCCTCTCAACAGCAGCAGAATATACATTCTTCGTAAGTACCCACAGAATATTTTCTAGGATAGACATATACTAGGTCATAAAACAAACTTCAATAAATTTCAAAATATAAAATAATGCAGAGTATCTTCTGTGATCATAATGTAATAAAATTACAAATTAATAACAGAAAAAAATTGGGATATGCACAAATATATGGAAAATAAACACACCTTTAAACAACCAATAGGTCAAAAAATAAATCAAAAGAAAAATCAGAACATACTTTGAAATGAATAAAAATGAAGACACAATATACCAAAACATAAGAGATACAGCTAAAGTAGTGCCTAGAGGGAAATTTATATCTGTAAACACTTACACTAAGAAAGAAGAAAAACATCTCAAATCAGTAATCTGAACTTCCAACTTAGTTAAGAGAAAAATAACATAAACAAGTAGAAGGTAGAGAATAACAAAGACTGGAGTGGAAATGAATAAGTTAGACAATAGGAAAACAATAGAAAAACTAATGAAACCAGAAGCTGGTTCTTTGAAAAGATCAACAAAATTGACATATCTTTAGAAGCCTCATTACTAGAATCAGAAATGGAAAAGGAGACATCACTACCAACCTTAGAGAAATAAAAAGGATTACAAAGGACGCCTATGGACAACCTTATGCCAATAAATTAGATAAACTGGATGAAATGGACAATTTTCTAGAAAGAAAAACTACTGAAATGGATTCAAGAATAAATACAGAATCTAAATAGACCTATAATGAATAAAATAATTGCAATAGTTTTAAAAACTATAGAAAAAGAAAAGCCCAGGCCTAGACAGTTTTACCACTGGACCTTACCAAACATTTAAAGAAGAATTAATACTAATTCTCACAAATTCTTTTAAAAATAGAAGGGGACAGACCATTTGACAACGCATTCTAAGAGGCCAGTATTAATGTGATACCCAAAACCAAAGACATCACAAGTAAAAAAAAATCACAAAATACTAGTAAACTTAATTCAGCAATGTAGAAAAGAATTATACTTAACAAACTAGAAGGGAACTTCCTCGATCTGATAAAGGGCATCTCTGAAAAACCCACAGATAACAACATACTTACTGGTGAAAGACTGGATTCCTTCCCTCTAAGATATAGGACAAGAAAAGGATGTCAACTTTCACCACTGCCATTCAACACTGTACTGGAAATTGCAACCAAATAGACAAGAAAAATAAAAGACATCAAGACTGGAAAAGAAGTAGTGAAACTATCTCTAGTCGTACAGGATGTAATCTTGTAAATAAGATTCCTAGGGAATTCAGTAAAATACCATTAGAACGATAAATAAGTTTAAGATCAACAAATAAAAATCAATTCTAAATTCTATAAAGTAGCAATGAGCAAACTGAAAATAAGATTAAGAAAGTAATTCTTACAATAGCATCAGAAACAATAAAATATTTAGGAATTAATTAAACAAAAGAAATGCAGGACTTATACAATGGAAGTCATAAAACATCACTGAAAGAAGTTAAAGATGGAAATAAATGGAAAAATATTCCATGTTCATAGATTAGAAGACTTAACATTGTTAAGATGGTAATACACCCCAAAATGATCTACAGATTCAACATAATACCTATCATAATGCCAGCTGGCTTTCTTCTTTTTTCAGAAATTGCCAGGCTGATTCTAAAATTGATATGGAAATTCAAGGAACCCAAAACAGCCAAAATGATCTTGAAAAAAGAACAAATTTGGAGGACTAACACTTCCTGACCTCAAAACTTACTACAAAGCAGTGATAAGACAGTGTGGTACTGGCATAAGGACAGATATACATATAAATGGGATATAATTGACAATCCAGAAATAAAAACATTGCCTATGATCAACTAATATTCCACAAAGAGGCAAAGATTATCCAATGTGGAAAGAATATTTAAAAAAAAATGGCTCTGAAGATGGTGGAATAGTATGGAAGCTTTTTGTGTGCCTCGCGT